TTATTTATTTTTCTTAAAATAATCCCCCTTATTGCCGTTAAATAATAATAGGTTAACATAATTTTGGTACTCTATATATAATCCCTGTGGATACGATACTCTACTCATTCTATATTACTTGTTGCGATTTCGTATACTTGCGAAAATCACTATTATCAACAACTCTCACTCTCCCTCGAATGATTCTAAGGCAATATAATCTGACCTTGCTCTTCTTCCTTAGTTGAGTTTAAGGCCTAACTTTGTACTCAAAAGTCGATACTTTCGACTTTCACTAACACTTTGTCTACCTTAGACCAAAACTACTAGTTAATTAATTTATTCTTAATTAATCCGTTTGATTTACAATATTATAAAAACTATACTAGGGTCCTGATGCCCTACCTTATCTTGATTTGGAGGAAGACTCGACCTCCTTGGTCGTTTTAATCATGGAGTTCCGATCCGGCAATGTGACAAGCGTAAGGGTATAACCACTCGAACTTAATCTTTGTTAATTAAGCCCAATCCTTCTGGCATCTTATCAACTGCCAAGCCCAATTTGTCTGACACATAGCATGCTTTGAAGCCTAGTCCATCCGACAAAATCACAAAACCAATTTTCAACTAAAGCTCGGTCCGCCCGACACCCCTTCTAAGCCTACTCCCCAAGTGACACCTTCAAAAATCCTACCATCCTAATCGATGGTAGAACTTTATGCGCCTTGATCCTCATACAAACGAGGTACAAAGGCATGCTTACGGATTTCAGCCTTAATAGCGGGCCCCTACCAAACTGACCGATTAGGACTTAGGGGAATGTGTTGCACGACCTAAAATCCTCGATAAACGATGCTAGAGTCGGGCTCCCCTCCGAATTACATGCTTTTTCAATTACTTATGTTTATCTATAATTGCCATGCATTATAAGTATGTTCATGCATTGATAAACTGACATTCATGCAAAACACTTTTGATTTCTCGGTTATGACCCAAACTGTTGAGTCATTTCAATAAGAAGCTGAAAACCTAGTCCTCGAACCCAATGATTCGAGGCTAGTGCTTTTATCCTAAAAGGCAAACTGAAAATGGAGTCCGTCACGAGGTTTTTTCCTTAATCTTTTCTCCAAAAACAAAAAGAAATTAAGGTGGTGACTCTAACACATCATACACTTGTCAAAGCGCTCCAAAGAGCCAACCCGACATCACTTAAGCGTTAAACTAAGCCACAACCTGACAATCAGTCTAATTAATCAAACATTATGAACCGTAAGGAATTCCTTCTAGTTTTCATGATGAATCGACCAATGGGCTTGACCGAATTAAGGACTCCGTCATTCGAACATCCTTTCCCTCAGTGCTTGGACAGGGGACATAGGTTTCAATGTGCAACAAATGTTAGGGATGAAGCTTTGGCCTAAGACCAAAAATCCTATTATGCTACCACCAATCATTGAGCAAAAAAAAGTAAGGAGGAAAAAGATAAACAGAAGAAGGGACAAAGATGAACCAAAAAAGAAAATTAGGAAGCATTCAAAGAGAGGTTTTGTAATGACATGTACACTATGCAAGAATCCAGGGCATAATAAAAGGGGATGTCCATATAAAGGGAGAACTCCAGCTCAGGTAATGAATTGAAACATTTTCCAATTGCTACTTTATGTTATTTATTTCATGTAGAACACTAATAGGGTAATTTTTTGTATAGGTGACTATTAATGCCAACCCTGCAATTCCAAGAGGAGCTGCTACTTCAAGCAGAAATACAACTCCAATTGAGCCTACAACACCAACTCCAACCACAAATACTATATCAATTCAGCCAAGAGCAAGACAAAACAACAATCCAAGTCAACCACGGGAAACAACTCAAAGACAAAATACCAATTTCACTCCAACTAATAGCAGTAAATGATCAATCATGCATTCCATGTTTTGTTATCTCCTTTCATTGTATTAAGCAGTTTAGATGGTGACTTGTTGTATTTAACCGTGTCTTCATTTGCAATTGAACAAAGCACAACTCCTGCTACACCTACTGTTATGTATTTTACAAGATATATAAGAGCTGTAGCAGTAAAAAACCCAGCTCAAGCAAGTCAAAGTATCAACCCTGGAGTTAGAGGAACACAACCAATTCCTCCATTTGAGAGAAAGAGATATGTAGAGCCAACAATGGCTTCTCAGGCTAAAAGACATGTTGCCCCTAGAGGAATAGGTATTTACATAAATGAAGGGACTGGTGCAATAACATATCAGGTTTATTAAAACCATTTGCTGTCAATATTTGCATTGGTTCAATTAACTTTTTGATTCAAAAAAGGATTGTGAAATGCTTAGTTTTTATGGTAATTTGTGTAGTTTTGATCTTTTTACAGCTATCACTAAACAATGGTAGCAGGGTTATAAGTCATGGATCACAGCTGAAGAACTCTGATGTTGTAACTGGGGATTTGGGATTCAAAGCTCCTGGATTGAAGTGGAAGGGAAAAAATGCAGTAACTGCTGGGTAACTACAGCAACAAAGACTTGATATGCAACATCAGCATAGGCAGTTCTAACTTGCAAGACCACCAGGCAACTCTTCTGCAATGAGTTAGCCATCATAAGGAAGTAACTGCCCATCCCAGCATAGCGCAAACCCCCAATCACATTTATTTTTGCTATTCTGTCTATTGTAATTGGTACTTATGAAATAATTAAAACAAGTACCAATATTTAGTCTTTTTGTCATTTTAATATGTGTATTGGATTCAGGTTTTTGTTAATAGAAATTTACCAATTCTAGAAATTGCATTTGTTCTCTTATGTTAATTACATTTAAGAGAATCTACATTACTACATTGTAAATTACAAGAAAAGAGCAACATGTTCAACTTAAATATTTAACTAATAATGCATATTATAAATATTTAATTATTTTCTATATATGCATATTATAAATATTTAATTATTTTTCTAATATATATATATAATAATATATATATAATATATATATATATAGTTATATATATATAATGAAAGATTTTTATAATATTACCACTCATTCTAACTTAGAAATTAAGCCAAATTTCCAATAAATAATAGGGAATTACAAAAAGTGCCAGACGCAAAGCCAAAAACCACTATAGGTTCCTACTCAATGAAGGCTAAAACCTACTTTTTATATAATGAAGATTATCTTGTCAAAATATTACCACTTTCATTTCTAACTTAGAAATTACAAAGCAAATGCTTCCAATAAATATAGGGAATACAAACTACAAAAAAGTGCCAACCACCAAAGCCAAAAACCACTATACAGTCAGTCTATCCTACTCAAAATGAAGGCTAAAACCTACTTCCCTAATCCACAATACTGCAATTTTAAATAACTCATTTCTTCACTTTATCCCACATTGCCATCACAACAAACAAAACAAAAAGACTAATGCCAAGTTGATACACAGTATTGTGCTTCTTTCTCTCCTCTTCATATTCCCTAATACGCCTGAGTAAGCCCATCATTACATGCTGAACATGGTTTGGCAATGGTTAAAAAAAATTACATGCACCTGACTTCTGAGATAAACACACCAAACAATGAGTTCTTAAACCCCATTATTTAAAAAAAAAAAAAAAGTTAAATTAGGACTTGAATAATATGACTTACCCCATATCTCCTGCAACCAAAACACCTCCTTCCTGAGTTCGCATTGGTGCATAAGACCTTAATCACGGCTACTTGACTGCAATTATAACTCAGAATTAGGAACTCTTAAGTGAATTCCATCTAATTACAAGAATCCTAATTTCTGCTCTTGGAAGAAATGGAAAACGAAGAGAGAGAATAAGATAGAAGATTGGAGATGAGTTAGTTAATTAAAGGTGCTAGATTTGTGATAAATAGAGTCCAATACGACGTCGTCTCTTATACGTCAAATAGAAAGATTACTATTCATGCTCTATATAGCGATTTCCTCTACACTCCGTCATCTCTTATACGTCAAATAGAAAGATTACTATCCATGCTCTATATAGCGATTTCCTCTACACTCCACTGATCTAGCGTGGTAAGAGATGAAAAAGCTACAAAAAAACACTAGTTCGAGGGCACAAGCGGTCCCTCGCAAAATTAAGGGACACAAATGGCAATTTAAAGAAAGTTTAGGGAAGAAATTATACTTCGGCCAATATTAAATATAATTATAGCATTAACTATCATTAAAAAGGTGTATATATATAAATTTTCTTTTAAAAAATAATTATTTTAAATATTTTTTGAATTTTTATTAAACGGGTAATGGATGTCAATGTTCTTGAGTCCGAATCTGACCCGAATCCAATATGGGAGTAAAAATACTGCCAAACTCCGTCCCGAACCTATCTATTCACTATTCGAACTCACAAAATCGAATCGAATCGAATCGGATAAAATTGTCATCCCTATTCAACATATAATTCTATGGTCCCTACATTATTCTCATTCAGTGAAATCTTATAGACATCATTGTCCCTCTCTAACAACCTAAGCCCATCTTTGTAGTACTTGGGACCTAAACCCATCTTTGTAGTCCTTCCCAAGTTCCCTTATCTTGCAAAAGTTTACAGACTATTAAGCAATAACCCCCATAATTTAGAGAACACCAACGAAAATAAGCCTTTCTTATTTAGATAGGATAAAGAAAATATCAAAGAAAAAAAAATACTAATCCACAAAATTAGAATCTCTTCGTATTAAAGGAAAATATGAATAAATTTAAAAAATTACATTGCTTTACGTAAAATTGATTTCATATTTCCCTTCTCCATTTTTTCTTTTCTCAAAAATTTTCTTTCCAAACAAGGGATTAAAAATTTCCGAAACAGACAACAAATGCACCATAAATAAGTTCACAAAAATTTATGTCTATTCCTAGAAATTCGCCAAACGACACGGTAAATGTCCAAGTTCAAACTGTTTTCTATTCATTTACTAGTTTATTTTTTCTTTTGTAGAATTTTGAAAATGGAATTGAAAGAAAAAAAAAAAACCTTTCAACTTCTGACAAATTTGTTTCATCGTTTGATTTACTTCTCAAGCATAAAATTTACAATGTCAAGTTACAAACACAATGCAAATACAGAATCAGTAAAGTAAAATCACCAGTCAGCACTCAAACCTGAACAAAGAGCACATAATTAGTTTTCTGATAGCAGAAAATAACTGAGCTAACACTTGATGGCATGGCAGCCAAGAGAAGGAACTAACATTTATACAGACCATCTGTAAAAGAACTGAAACTACACAATTTAGCTGCATCCAATATCGAAAATTACAAAATGTACCATAAGAACTCTAACCAAATTTCTTTCAGAGTAGATACAAGGAATACCCCATCATAGAGAGAAGTAAACAGCCAGAAGCACAAGCAACAGCTGATACTGAATGTAGTCCTTGCTTATCTTCTTTTTTTTCTTCTTTTTTTCCCCTCTTGAAAGTAAATTTTAAAGCACAAACCAGAAAGATCTACAAAACTTCCACATACAAATAGATGTTAGAATGGGGCTGATGTCGTTCTCCGGAGCTGATATTTTGGTTCAGGAAGGGGGATGCTTGGCAACATCTTTTCCAGCTCCTGTAAAGTTCAGGACAATGAATCCATAATAAAGTAAAATAGTTTGAATTAAAAAGTTTACTCTATTCAAAGGGGAAGAACTATACAGGCATGCTATTTTATAGATTTCAAAATTAGACAAGTTATTCAGGTAATTGTACTTGCATGAATCATTGTGCAATAAATTGATCATTAAATACAAGAATAATTCAAATTCTTGATCTGTATTCATCCACTTTCATCATCTATCTGAAAATGTTCATAAAATGGTGTTTATAAACTAGAATAATTCAAATGAAATTTTCACAAAATGAGACATAAAAGTACTGGGGCTTTGGTTCAACAGGTAAAAGGGTCAGGCGATATTGGTAGCAGTCTTAGGACTGGTTCTTACCAGCTAAAAATATGACAAAGAAGGGGCAAATCAAAGACAGGATAGAAGGGCAGAAGACGCTAAAGAAGAAAAAAGGAAAGTGATAAAGCAGTATGAGTAGTTCCTACACCTTCACAAGCTTGAAAAGAAAACAAGTCAGTCCTGACTTCAAAAAGGCTACAGAAATGCCTTCATGAGTAACAGTGAATATTACACCTGCTTCATGTTGAGCAGATATAAGAAATCTCAAAGATATTGCTACCGAACATTGGTAAGATACAGAAAAAAAGCAAATGTCAACAAGACTATGAATTAGAGGATAAAAAATTCAAAGAAAAACCATGATCCTGGAGATAAAAAAATAAAGACATAGTCCAAGTTGCATAACTCGGGCTAATAATGAAGAAAAGTCAGTAAAGTAAGAACATAAGAAGCGAGTCAGGTGCTTAAAGTAAACATTAAATTATGCTATTAATAGTAACTGTCTTAATTAAAAACATCAAGAACACGCTCAACCTCTAAATGAAGAACACCAAGAACATTACAGAATCAATTGTTGCACTGTCCATATCCATAGAAATATTAGTCATCAAATGGACCATGTGTTTAGTTGCAGTTCAATGTCAGCCCAAATGCTGAGTGATCCTATATCCTCTATTCTTTTAGGGTCATTTCTTTTACTATGTTATCTTAGCCCACACCTAAGAGGATGCTAACATCTCTTTCTGCATTATAAAGTAACAGATCTTTTGTCATATGATAAACCATTGTGTAGTAAAATCATAAATTTGCTTCATTTTTTCAAATGATTATTGCTTTTACTAACGGCTAACCATCAATTTGACTCTGAATTTTTCAAGTAGTTTCAATTTCACCCTAAATTAACCTTTGTACCTTGGACATCCTAAACTTACCAACCTAATAGCAATTACACCATAATTTGCACGTTAGGGTGCAATTGCGCTCTAAAAGCGAATTTGGGTACACTAAACTTATTGATATGTTGCAATTACACCCTAGAAACAAATGAAGGTTATGATTTTGATTAAAATAACAAAAAATTGACTCATAAAAAAGCAAATACAAAACAGACCATTTGAATTAAAGGGGAAACAAATGCTGTAACCCAAGTATTTAAACAATAAACAAGAAAATCAAACCAAGTATTCATATAATAAACCAGAAAATCAATATTAGGCCTTCAATTTTAGAATTGAACCAATTTTAAAAACAATGCGTTTGGCAGTAATTCAAGGTACTCTTTACAAGATAACAAAAAAAATATGGTGGTTCCTTTACCACTTCATTAGCCACCGTTTAAAGTCCTATAAAGGGCAGAGAGAGATACTAAGATGGACGAGAAAAGGCGCAAAACAATCAATTCTCCTTTTTAATTCAAATGTTATGTTTTGCATTTAACTAAGCTTAGGTTAGTTATGGAGTTCATTTTTACATCATTCCAATCAAAATTCCAACCTTAATTTGCTTCTAGAATGCAATTGCAACAAATCAATAAGTCCAGCATGCTCTAATTTACTTTTAGGGTGCAATTGCTACTAGGTTGACAAGTCAAGATGCCCATGGTACAAAGACTAATTTAGGGTTAAGTTGGAAGTACACTAAAATTTCAGGGTGAAAAAATAAATTAGGGTGCAATTGCTACTAGGTTGACGAGTCAAGATGCCCATGGTACAAAGACTAATTTAGGGTTAAGTTGGAAGTACACTAAAATTTCAGGGTGAAAAAATAAATTAGGGTGCAATTGCTACTAGGTTGACGAGTCAAGATGCCCATGGTACAAAGACTAATTTAGGGTTAAGTTGGAAGTACACTAAAATTTCAGGGTGAAAAAATAAATTAGGGTGCAATTGCTACTAGGTTGACGAGTCAAGATGCCCATGGTACAAAGACTAATTTTACGTAATACTGCGCATGTACAAATTAAAGAAGGTGAAACCCTATTATATATCAATTGCAATAGTGATAAGAGGTTAAGAATACACTAGCAGAAACTATAAGTCATAACAAATTGCTTCTTTCAGTGTACTCATGTAAAGATTACAAGTCAGAAATTTCAAACGGTAGAGTAATAATATCTAGTGAGTTAGCACTGCAAATCTGCGTCCACAAATTTAAATACAAAGCTGCTGCTGTATATCATCAAGAAGTATACACAAGAAATGGGTTTGCACAATTTGTGTAGTACTGCTAAGATGTATTATGCTTCTCAAGGTGATACTTGGTTTGTTTTTTCTTTCTCTGTATCGGGAGAAGCACTCCACCAGAGAAGCAATCAAATTACTCAAGATTCCTTCAAAGCCTCCTTAAAAAGGGTTTGAGCCCTTGATGTTTAATGATCGCAACATATTGAATGCAAAATTTTCAAAAGTTGTCTATTGGAGTGTTTGTTCCAATAATAAAAACGAGTCTGTAAAGTAATGTAAAGTAATACTGATGAAGTAGAATTAAGGGTTTTTGATTTATAAATAGGCCTATGAAAGTAATTAAGAGACTAAAAAGTATGAGCTAGCTAAAGTTCTCTGCTCGCCATTTATGGCTCACCATAACAATCTACTATAAAAATAGGTAACTGCTTTTTCCATTGAATGGATAAGCAGATGAACAATGGCTCTGATAGGCAGTACCATGTAATTAAAGACTAAAAAATATGAGCTAGCTAATTCTCCCAATTTATGGCTCACCATACAATCTACTATAAAAATAGGTAACTGCTTTTCCATTAATGGATAGCATAACATGCTCTATAGGCAGTACCATTGATACTTTATGTTCTTTTTCCAAAAACTGAACAATCTGTTTTTCCAAAGAAAGATTCATTTCCAAAGATACAAAATTCAAAGAAGCCAATCAAAAATAAAAATAACAATCTTGAAACAACTTGAAAACCTCAATCAATAAATATCTACTGAAATATAGTTGCAAATTTTTTCAAATACAACTCACTCTGACACCACTCTAACACCAATATCACAACCCTCCAGCCACCTATTTCAATCATCATACTCAGACCATCAACCACTTCCTCCATATGGTCCGAAACCCATTTACTCCATAACATTATGAAGAAAGTTTCTATAAGTTATGCTAAGCCTTTCCAAATTCCAAGTTGGAAGGAAAATAATAGATCTATTATAATCTATGACCAAAAGAACATACATCTAATATAATCTGAAGAGAAAATGAGAATGATAACTCCAAATAAAGCTATGAAAGTCAGAAAAAGGTCATGCCAATTGCCCAAAAAAATGGAAAATTGTGAGAGAATCATCACATGGAGAAAATTTTCAATGAACTTTCTTATCTCAAAAAGAGCTCAAACATATTGAAGAAACAAAATATTATAGGGTTGAAGATGCAAGTCAATAATCTCCAATAATAAATTTGGTCATATCCCTAAAGATAGAGTATGAAAACGAACTTCCTTATGTTGGGTATTAATGGAGAAACATCAAGAGAAAATAAAGATCTCAAAATGGTGTTTATAAACTAGAAGAACCAAATGAAACTGTCCCAAAATAAGATTTATGGTCGGTGTTGATACAGAATGGTACAATACATAAATGGGAAACGTTTTGAAACATAAATATGAAGTTGTAACTAGCATACATATTTATTAGGGGCGATCAAAAAGAACTTGTCTAACAATTGGCTCATGCCAAAAATCATCCTTAAGTTCTTATCTTTCATGCTTTGATACTGGAGGAAATAATAAGACATATTTAAAAGAGAATGGTCCTTATTAATGTTCCTTGCTGATGACACCAGTTTGGGAAAAAAAAAATATATGCATTTAAAGAAAAGATAAAATAAAATGGAAGTAAGCATCCCAAGTATTGAAATTTATGGAAACATGAGAATAAAGGTTAGTCTCAATTGGGTAGAGATTTCACATACCGCCCATTTTTCATGTCTAGTTTTTAATACTAAACAGATGGTGAGAAAGAAAAGTATGTTAATCTTTCGATTTAGGTAATATAGTGGAGAAAATGAAGAACTGTGAGGTTCCTATCAATCATTAAAACTCAGTTATGTTAAAGGGGAAATTTGGTTAACATTTTCATGTAGTATGATGACAATAAGGAAATAACATTATCTTAGAACCATGGCAACGATAAAGATAAGTGGATAGATGAGTTATTGCTATTATTTTCAGGAAGTCCAAAGAAGACCAACTAACACATCACTCAGTAAATTGAAAAATAAAAAAGACTAGAAATTGACCTAAGATGACCATGGAAAAGGGTGAAAGAGGATTAGCAATATTCCTTCCCTACAAATGTAGATGAACAAAGCAGACCAAGATAGGAAATTATCAATATCCTTAATTAGATTAGAAGTGGATTAAATTAACTCTAATTGATAGGTTGCATTTGTCACAACAAGGATCCTTGAAATAAAGAAATGCATGTCACTATCAACACATTTTGGAACCTCTCCAATTTGTTCCCAGTTTGGTTTGAGTTAAAATACATTATTGAATCCACTTTAATTTCTTTCCTTCCAACAAATACTTTGTGGTGGACAAGAATGTTAACCAAGAAAAAATAGATTACTCTAGCTACACATGAGAGTATTAAGATATATAAGCAGCCCAAATTTGCACTAAAAGTTAAGAATATTGGCTTAAACTTTTACAATAACATAAATTCAAAATAGGCCAATGCATGATTATAGCATCAAATAGATCATATATAGACAATCTTAAACCCGGACAAAGGAGGAAAGTTGTGGCAGATGACAACCGGCATAAAATGTTATCACATCTCATGAAATGGATTCAAATAGAATAATGTTGGGAAATTCCTACTTATGACACAATTTATTGGAGCTTTACTGTAGTCAAAAAATAGGTAATGGTATATATAAGACATTCCATGTGGACCATGTCAATACCAGGACGTGGTCTAACATATGCAAGGGTACCACATCTTGACAAATGGGTGTGAGTAAGTAATGTAGTTCATAAACTGAGAAGATGGATTATTACATTACAGTAGTGGAGGCAGGCGAAGAAATAAGTTGAGAAAAGTATTTGTTTAATATACCCTTTATTTAGTCTTCCTCCCAAACAAACCTAAGAAAATAAATTTTGAAACTGTCCTTCCACTTTGTGGGATTTTATAATCATGCATAGGATTTCAATTGAGCCAGCAACCAAGGCTAAATTGATTTAACAATTTCATAGACAATTTCATTCCACAGCAAATGATGAATTCTTCAAACATAAAGTGTCTCAACAATCAGAAGAAGGTTAGTCTTCATCAAAATCCAGGGGGTAAATAAAAGAAAGAAAGCATGCAATTCAGCAGATGTTTCCAGTAAATTCAATCAAAAGGAAGATGAACCATGATATATATATCTAGAAGAAAAATTCTCACCTTCCGTTTCCTTAGCCGTTCATTTTCCTCTTCCAGGCGAGAAACTTTATTCTCAAGCTCATTTGTGTAAGCCTGTTTACAATGGTTTTTCAGATCGTGGAGAATTAAAGCAACCAAAACATATAGTAAATAATTTATAATGTATGTGTCATTTTATATATTTAAAATAAATAAATGTGCATTAGGATGGATTGATGGATAAATAAGTGAAAGCCAACCTGCTTCCGTGCACGTGAACGAGCAGCAGATTCCCGATTCTTTATCATCCTTTTCTGCCTTCTCTCAACTGTCTTCTCGATCATACCTTCAGGTGTTCCTCTTTTCCTTGCTGGTGTCTGTACATCTGATAATGTTCCCATCAAAGGTGAAGGTAAGTGTAGCTGGTTCTCAGGGTATGGAACATCCATTACAGCAGGAGCCCCAACATGAAGTGGCTGTGATGGCATATAAACCCCCATCATACTCTGTTGAGGATGCTGATACTGTGGATGCGGGTATTGCATCCATTGCCCTTGTTGTGGGAACTGAGGTCCTATACTTGTATCAACCCCCACAATAGGACCACCATCCTTTTTGTCCATGGATGCTTCAGCAACAACCCCTGCTTTAACCAAAAAATCCTCCAAAGTCATCTCTCCTAAAGTAGGTTGTCGTTCCCTAGACTTATTTTCCCCATTTTCTTTACTTTGTTGAATGTCTCTCCATACTTCATCAACCGTCTTCTTACTCAGAGCACTAGTTAATGACAAACTAGCCTGACGCTGCAGAGCAGTTTGATTGGCCAATTGTGTTCCCTCAACTTCCACATTCACTGGCTGGTTAGCTTCAACTGTCCATACATTCTTGAGAAGTTCATCAAGGTTCATACTACTCAAAGGTTTCCCAAGGTCACCCAAATGAGTTTGAACCTCATCCAGAGTTAGACTATACATAGAGTTTTGTCGCGTCAATGGCTGGAACTGAGACTGCTTTCCATTACTACTACCATCACCTTGGGATCCCATTGTATGTATCCCCATTCAACATGAAACTCATTCAAATTCTCAGCTTCAAAAGTTTTGAAATAACAACTAGCTCTACTAGCCGAGCCCCAAGTTTATCTTGAAACTGCATGAACCCAAAACGAGAACCTGAAATACCCAATCAAATGCAAAGCAGAAAAAAAAAAATTTAATGAACAGAATTTATCACAGTCAAATAATTAAATGTAACTAAACAAGATTAGTGGATGATAAAATGCCACTGCACCCCAAACTTACACTTTGAAAATATAAATCAGGATTAATTAACAACCTTTACTAGAAACCCCAAATCAATAACCTCAACTAAGCAAGCAGAATTAATTAAAAACGTTACACCGCTTAAAATCCCTAACATAGAACAATCAGAAGAAAAGTTGACGAAGAAATAGTTATAAACCCTAGATAATAGAAGAAGAAGATCCACCTCAACGCAGAAACCATTGATCACAATTCAAGGAGAAAAGAATCAAAATAAAATGTCCCAATACATATATCATTGGAATCTGAATACCTTCCAAAGAAGCCAAAAAAAAGAAACTTTTGCATCATTCACAAACACACGCAGAGCAAACAAACACGCACTTTCTCGTAGGAAATAAAATAAGAACAGAGGACCAATCAGTTGTAATCTGTCACATGCAAATGCAAAACTCCATTGAGGAAAACCTTCGAAACCCAAATCCCAAAAGAATCATCCAAACAAACCCATCATTTCAAGAAAGCTGAGATTAAAGAATCAAAATGGAACTCTGCATGAAACAAGAAATTGCCAATGTTCTTTAAAATGAAAGCAAAAGCTAAAATCTGTTTAGATGATAATTTCAACTGTAAGCAAAAGTCATCTAATAGACCATAAAAGAAATGAAAATCTCAAATGCAAGTGAAAAAAAGAAATTTAAAAAATTTCAAGAAAAAAGTTAGATGAGAGAGAGAGAGAGAGAGAGAGAGAGAGAGAGAGATAAAGAGAAAGATAGCAAGAAAAAGAAAAAGAAAATCAATTGCTTACTTTTGTGATCTGAAAGACTGAATTGATATTGGGATTTTGAGATTATTAAGAGAATTTGATGATTCAGGTGGGAATGAAATCAGCTACTTTTGCTAATGAAGCCAGGAGGAATGAATGAAATTGAAGAGTGTGTGTGTGTGTGTGTGTGTGTGTGTGTGTGAGAGAGAGAGAGAGAGAGAGAGAGATAGAGAGAGCAACTCCCCAAAACTAAAAATGCTCAAAAATAAATTTTATATGAATAAATAAAAATTGTTTAATTGGTCCAATTTTAATATTTATGTTTAGATATTAGAAATTGGGTAAAATGAGGGAGACCTCATGCGTAATCATGGGAAATCCCACTTATTTGCTCGATCATGCCTGATTGTACTTTTTAAGTTTTCTTTTTTTCTCGGTTTAAGAGCTCATTCGCTATTTCTTTAAACTAATGGTATTTCGTTCTTTTTTTATTTCTATTTTTGTTTTTTCTTATGAAATTTGTAATACTAGTATAGTTTTTCAAAATAAGTAAATCGGACACAATTTTTATTTATTGAAAATCACGACAACTGTTTAAATTAGGCATGTCACCGGTTCATTTTGAACCGAAATCAAATCGAAACTGAATCAGATTAAAGTTTTGAACCGAAACCGACAGTTCAAAGGCCAGCGGCGGTTTAAAGGTAAGTTAAGATTCATGAAAATGTTAAAATCTGAACCGGTCTAGTGGCAGCGATTTTGATCCAGTCCGATTCGAACTATAAATTTTCTATTTTTATTTCAAAATGATAATCACTTAACATATTCTATACACCTCTAAAAATTGAAATAATATTTTACTATATAATTCACTTAAGATTTTTTTTTTTTTTGAAAATACACAGAATTAAAAATCTAAAAAAAATTAAAATAGTAAAAAGAAGTAAAATATTTAGTCTAAAATTATGTTGTTTTTAACTTTTGTTTTTTCTTTTAAATGTTTACTTAGTTGAAAATTACATTGTTGAAGCATTTTTTAAAATTTTCTAACAATTTATTTTGTAAAATTAATTAATTTTATTCTTATATGAGTATGAGCATTCTAAAATTTATTTGAAATAAAATTTACCAATATTTTTTTAAATTAAAATTTTATTTTGTAATTAATTAATTTTATCTTAAATATGGAGTAAATGAGCATTCTAAAATTTATTTTGAAATAAAAATTTACCAATATTTTTTAAATTGTCATTAATTTTTTCAAAACAAAGATTATACGCATTAGAAATCGATTTTTTTTTTAAAAAAAAATATACATGTATCGCCGAAAATCGTGATCAGAAATTGTCAGTTCATCGGAACACACTGAATCACCCAAAATTCGACACCTAAATCGAAGCGACGCGATTCAAAGGCCGGTTCAGGTTCAATAATTTAAAATCTTGAAACCATCGGTTTTTATAAACCGAAACCGAAAGAATTCAATTGAACCCGGACATGCCTAGTTTTAATTGGGTTTAATTAAAAAAAAATCAAATTAGTTCCCTTAAATTAAACAAAATGTAACTTTAAAAAAAATTAAAGATGATATTATTTACATTTAATATAAATAAAGATATAATTGAAAGCAAAATCATTAACTATTCCTATAATAATTTTAAAAATCACTTATAAATTTATGGATAAAAGAAATTATTCCCTAAAAACGACTTATATTTATGGACCAGGGAGAATAATATATTATAAAAAATTTAAATTGTGCTAAATTAATATTATTTCTTTATTAAGTTTACATTAAATCACACGTAAAATTCTAATTCCTAAATTTCCTACGAAAAAATTATAAAGAGTTCCCCATTTATTGAAACACATTTTAACATTCTAAAAATATTTATAAACACTTCCTATAAAGATTATAACCTACCCCTACAACTACTTCATACATACCACTACAAAGCTACCTTCAAAACATATCATATTTTCATTAACAGTCATATCGTTTGTAAAAAAAGAAAAAACTTTCGTGAGAATGGAGAGAAAACCCTCTTTGAACTGCGACCTTAATGAAAACCCTAAGTGATCAGAGAATCGTGCTACAAAGAAGGTGAAACACAAAGATAAAAGATGGCATGTCAATTTGAGGAGGATTGTCTACGTGTATGGGTTCTCAGCATGCTTTTGGCGATAAAAGTCCTTCAGGGTATGGAGATTGGATTATGGAGGGAGGATTGTTTTGGATGATGCCTTTCATAATTTCATTCGAGGCATTCAATATCGACAAGACTAGACGATTCCAGCTATTAAGATCTTTGATGATTTACCAACAAACCTAGCAAAAAAAGTGGTTCCAAGGCAGTAGTTGGGGTAGGAGAATTGGTTTATTAGACCACTGTGTGATAAAATCAAGCTTTATGGAGAGCCGAATGGGCATCAAGGTTTTTAGATTTGGGGAACAATTAATTTCCTGGTTAATTGAGCATGAATTGGACTTCCATAAAGGCTGTCTTGGATGGACTATGGAGCGTTAGCAGGAAGTTTATTAGTTGTGAATTCCATGGAACCCCTGTCTTTGACATCCAGAGTTTCAAGAATTGAAGCAGGCTGTTATTTGAGTGAGGTTAATCGGGTTTTTACCTCTTCACCTAATACCATGAGAAGGTACTAGAGCCATGGGAGATGTATTGGAAGGATATCAAAGGTTGATTAATAATACATGAGGAATTCTCAGAGGTTAAGTTTTTGCCTAGATGTTGTTTTGGTGGATACTGAGAAATCTACTTGTCTCGCGAAGTTCCTCATCAATAGTAGGAATACAACTATGGAGTAATGAAAAATAAACCGAGCTTTAGTTTTGAATTGCGGTCAAATACGAGTCACAGAGGAGACATGTGATTGTACAAAGAAGAAGATCGATGGTTCCCAAAAACTAACCATGGCCAAACACTTGAGAGGAGGGGTTCGAGTTCCTACACAAGAGTTTCAACCCTTGGATGGTCGTCCAACCGTCGACCTTTATCCGTGGGAGGCGAGGGACAAAGGAGAATCAGAAGTATCTCCAATCTAGTTAATGGTAAGTTAGGCTCAAGGTTTGACATTCTAGGTGATGGAAGTGAGCCTAATGTAGGTGAGCAATATCTCCGTGTGCTAAAGATACTCTCGATCGCCTGAATAAGTGGCAAAATCCATGTAAACCCTACCACGTAATAACTTGAAAGGGAACGTCAATTATGCAATATGGAGTTTCAACATAACAGGCCTAAGCCCCCAAGAGTTCTAATAATAACGTCATCTAGATTAGTCCCTCCAATTCCGAATTTTGGCCCAAGACCTATATAAAAGCTACTGTTGAAGATTTCTTCTTTAAAGTATAGAAATAAACAGGCCGTAAATGTGAATTTGAGCAAGAATGTAACATTAGCCTTGATCATCCAAGACACTCTAAGTTAGAGTAATGGAAAACCAATGCGAATGGTATACCAAACCCCTGCAAATAACTATTTTTGAGTCTCTTAATTAGTATAAGAGTTCAGATATGCAAATGCATGTCGACCCCAGAATGTAGGTGGTCTTGCCCCCTAAAACCTTCTCCCAATCAACATCCCTCATAACCCTAGAAAGTGGAAAAAACATGAACACCCGAGGTGAATCTTACATTGAACTAAGCACAAATGTGGAAGTGAAAATGTATAATAAGGATGAGAAGCTTTAAACTAGAAAAACGTGTTTTGGCTATGAGAGGTTCTGCCCATGAATAAATATATAATGGTGCCGTCCCAAGTAGACAATATATTTTGCTAGTCCTAGGATGTTACGACTTGGTATCAGAGGTCAAGCCTTGTCCCTCTAGTTTGGTGGTGGAGCAAACCCTCAAGCAAAGGACACCGAGTCTCTAAAGGGGGGATGGATGTGACACCTAGGCAAATCCCATAATAGCTAAGCACAACTGGAAGTGATGTACATAAAGATGAGTAAGACTTTAGACCTAATAAGGATGGCTTTTTGAGCTATGAAGAGGTTCTAGCCTAGGAACAGAAATCCGTGTGGGCTTGAGCCCAAAGCGGACAAGATCTTGCTAAACTCGGGAATTTATAGATTTGGTGATTAGAGCCAAGCTTTATCCCTTTAGCTGGTGGTGGGACAAACCTCAGAAGGACGTTGAGTCCCTAAGGGGGGGGATGGATGTGAACACCTTAGGCAAATCCTTACATAGCTAAGCATAGGTGGAAAGGTGATGTACATAAGGATGAGCAAAGCTTTAAACAACAAGATGCATTTTTAAGGCTATGAGGAGGTTTCGACTAGGAAACAAATCGTTAAGGCCCTAGGCCCCAAACAAACAATATCTGATGACCTGGGATGTTTATAGAACGTGAGAGATGAAAGTATTGGGAAGAGAATGTGGAGGAAGAATTCTAAAAAACTAAAAATGGTTGAAGCAGAACTCTTAGGCTTGATGAAGATGAAATGAGGTACAAAAGGAGGAGGATGACTATTGCGGTTTTTTGAAGAAGGAGACTAAAAGGACCTAACCTCTGAGATTAGGTCTTATGGTTTGTATGGCAGTTGGTCCTTTATATTTTTTGTTTACTTATTTTTATTATGTCAAATCCTACCTATCGTGGAATTTTGTCAAGGAGTGGGTAGCTTCTCTTTCATGTGCACTCTTAAGCTTATTGTGGAAGCACAAAAACCTAAGGTTATTAAATCTTGCTGCAAAGCATAAGTTAGTGGAGAAATCACGCGAATAGAGTCATTAAGAAGAATTGGGTAATAAGATTCTCTAATTAGGATTTGAGGCTTACCGACCTCTCGGGGGTATTTGGATTTTTTTGTAGGATAATTGGCAGTTGCATATTATTAGTAATAATAACCAATTGGTCCACTTTTGG